CATTGCACTGATTGCACTCAGCACGGATTGCACACAGCTGTTTACACTGATTGCACCCAGCTGTTTCATATCACTCCCTCACTATTTAACACTCACTCTGATCCCTTCCCTCTGCCGAGTATTGTTTCAGCGATTATCACTCCCCTAGTGATAGCTACACTACAGAGCCCTCAGTCGTTTTCCTAGCCTTAGCCTTAGTCTGTTTTCTCCGGTTTTTGATCTTCGCCTGGTTTCCTGGATTTCTCCCTTAGTCTTGCCCCTTTTTTGATTCTGTCTGCCGATCGTCGACCTGCTCTAGCCCTAGGACTATTCTTGTGCTTTGCCCGCCATATACCTGTTTGTCTTTGTTTGACCCTGCCTGTTATGACCACGTCTCTGTCTTCTCCAATAAAAAGCTTGCGAATGGATCCGCACGTCTCACGTCTCGTCAGCTCTGTAACACAAAGAGCCATATTTTGTGTTTTTATATACTCAAATGACTGTTTGCAATACATTGGAGTGGTCCAGTAGACAGTAGTCCTAACACTTTCATCCCCTTGTCTTGGCTTTGTACTGACTACTTCTTTTCATGTATAACATCACCTTCTTAATGATACACTTAGTCTGGCAATTCTTTTGTGATTTAATGTTAGGTATGAATATTTATGGAAAGCTTTGCAAAAGTTAAAAAAGAATAAATCCAGGTTGGCTATTGGCGATATTAAGCTAAGTAGAATACTAAGGTAAAATGCTTTTATCCAAAGCAATTGTTACATGAATAATCCCAGCACAATGTGTGTTTAAAGTGATAGTTTACCCAAAATGTCAATTCTGTCATCATTTACTCACCCTCATGTCATTTCAAATGGGAGCATATCTGAGATCCCTTGGTTAAGCTTATTTTCCTATGTTACCCTACCCTATAATCCCAACCTTAATCTTAACCCTGGAACACAGAACCATGGGAACATAGAAATGACTCACTCCCATTTCACTTTTTTTGTAGAAGACAAAAGTCACCATTCATATTCTTTGCATTGTTTTCCACACAGTGAAGGTGAATGGTGACTGAGATTATTCAGGTAAATATTGTATGTGTTGCACACAATAAAAGTTATATTTGGAACAACAAGAGGGGGAGTTACATTTTTTGTGTGAAAATATTCTTTGTCTTGATCAAATTAATGTAAACATAGTTTCCTGTGAGCAGAACAAACCAACAAAACCCTGCCAAGAACTTTATCACTGTCACAATGCCTTGAATGCCTAAACGCTCTTGTTTTCTATTACCTTCCAACAGGTTTGTAAAGATGGATGATTGATGGTTCTGGTGGTTTCTGCTCCTGACAGTAAGTACAGACCAAACCGAGATCTGCCTCGTTATCTCGTATATATTAATTAATACTCAGCATATAATGTGATTCTCATTGTGTTTGAATGAAGTTTGTGTCTTGTTTCTGCTTCAGTGACATACTCTAGGCACACTGGAACTCTCCAGAAGCTTCTGTGATGAAGATTTTTAACAGCACAAGTTTGACTCACCAGTATCTTGGGCATTATAAACTACTAGAAACACTGAAATCCAGTGAAACCAGTGCACAAAGCAGCTCAGACCAGCCTCATGTATCCCATCATCATTTTCAGGCCACAATTTACTCTCCTTTTTACTGTCTGCAGCAAGATTCAAACCATTATCAAACAAAATCTGACAATATGGATTTAATCCTCCAGCAAAGGGTGTTACAAAACACAGTTCAGTACTTGCAAATACAATATGACTCATGACTCAATACAGGTGTCCAATAAACCTGTTCTACAGGTCTGTTTCTGAATTTCCCTAAAATACGAGTACAAACACACCCTCATTCCAGCCCAGTCACACTAACCACCTTACAGAAAATACAAAGAGCAAGTTCAAGAAGTTCGGCCTATTATGGGCGGAGGCAAACAATGCAGAGGTGTGGCTTATTGTGGGCGGAGACAAACATATATATTGAAGTGGATTGTGTGCTCTCTCTCATTTTGCACTTTGTTTGAGAAGGAGAAGAAATATGACACCTCTGCGCACTGCACCTGAATTCACAACCACAGCAAACCTGCCGGCATGGTCTGTATGGCGGGGTTTTTTATATGGCTACAAGATTGTTTTAGCTGTACTCCAGATTGGTAGAGCTGTATTCAACTTGTTTCAGCTGAACTCAAATGGGTTCAGCCTGATTAATGTCTGTTCATCTGTACACCTAATTGGTACCGGTTTACTTGACTTGATTCAGCTGCTACGACAGCTGCTCGACGACTACAAGCAAAGGCATGCAGACATATGCGTCGGCGACTACGAGCCAAGGCATGCAGCCGTACGCGTCGGCGACTACGCGCCAAGGCATGCAGACGTACGCGTCGGCGACTATGCACCAAGGCATGCAGGCATACGTGCCGACAGTTATGCCAACTTCGACTATGCCCCAAGCCATGTAGGGATACGCATTGACGACTAGAACAACTAGCTCTATGATTATGCGTCAAGGCATGCGGGCATATGCATCGACGACTACGCACCAAGGCATGCAGGTATACTCTTCAATGGGTATGTCCCAAGGCATGACCACTGACTACAACTTAATAAAACAATATTTAAATATTTAAACAATAAAAAGCTAAATTTTTGTGTGTTTTCATTTACTCAAATGTCTTGTCGAATGTGTTTTCTGTGTTTGGTGTGGTCCAGTTGACAATGGTATGCCTGCATGCTTTGGTGCGTGGGCATTGACGTGCCAAGGCATACGCATCAATGACTATGTGCCGAGGCATATGTGTTGACGACTACACCAACTACTACGACTACGCACCAAGGCATGTAGGCATACACGTTGATGACTACGCCGACTACTACATCTACAACTACGCACCAAGGCATGCAGGCATATGCATTGATGACTACACCGACTACTGCGTCTACAACTACGCACCAAGGCATGCAGGCATAGGCGTCGATGACTACACCGACTACTACGTCGACTACAAGCATATGCATCTGATTACACCGACTACTACGTCTACAACTACGCACCAAGTCATGCAGGTATATGCGTCGATGGTTATGCCGACTACAACGTCTACAACTATGCACCAAGGCATGCAGACATATGCGTCGATGATTACGCCGACAACTACGTCTACGACGACTACTACGTCTACAACTACGCACCAAGGCATGCAGGCATATGGGTCGATGACTACACCGACTACTATGTCTACGTCGACTACTACGTCTACAACTATGCACCAAGGCATGCAGGCATATGCGTCGATGACTACACCGACTACTATGTCTACAACTATGCCGACTACTACGTCTACAACTACGCACAAAGGCATGCAGGTATACGCTTCAACAGGTATGTCCCAAGGCATGACCACTGACTATAACTTAATAAAACAAAATAAAAAGCCATATTTTTTGTGTGTTTTCATTTACTCAAATGTCTTGTCGAATGTGTTTTCTGTGTCTGGTGTGGTCCAGTTGACAATGGTATGCCTGCATGCTTTGGTGCGTGGGCGTTGACATGCCAAGGCATGCAGGCATACGCATCAATGACTATATGCCGAGGCATATGTGTTGATGACTACACCAACTACTACGACTACGCACCAAGGCATGTAGGCATACGCGTTGATGACTACGCCGACTACTACGTCTACGACTACGCTGACTACTACATCTACAACTACGCACCAAGGCATGTCTGCCAAGAACTTTATCACTGTCACAATGCCTTGAATGCCTAAACGCTCTTGTTTTCTATTACCTTCCAACAGGTTTGTAAAGATGGATGATTGATGGTTCTGGTGGTTTCTGCTCCTGACAGTAAGTACAGACCAAACCGAGATCTGCCTCGTTATCACAGGGAAGTAACACTGTTTAATCTCTCCAACAGTATTTGATTAGCTTTAATGAATACATGCCATATAATGTGTTTCTCATCATGTTTGAATTAAGTTTGTGTCTTGTTTCTGCTTCAGTGATGTGCACACTGGAACTCTCCAGAAGCTTGTGTGATGAAGATTTCTAACAGCACGAGTTTTGACTCACCAGTATCTTAGGCATTAAAAAGAACTAGAAACACTGAAATCAGTGCACAAAGCAGCTAAGACCACCTTCATGTATCCCATTATCCTTTTCAGCCCACAATTTACTCTCCTTTTTCACTGTCTGCAGTAAAATTCAAACCATTATCCAACAAAATCTGACATTATGGATACAATCCTCCAGCAAAGAGTGTTACAAAACAGTTCAGTACAGTTCAGCAAGCACATTATGATTTATGACTCAATACAGGTGTCCTATAATAATAAGCCTGTTCTACAAGTCTGTTTATGAATTTCCCTAAAATCCCAGTACAAACACATCCCTATTCTAGCCCAGTCACGCTAACCAGTGTTTGATCTATCAGTAAACACACACTCCTGCCTGTTTGAACACAAGCACTCCATAAAAAAACTCAGGTTTAATCTAGCTAATTTGCTTAAGTTTAGTACTTTACAAACATTCCATGGACAAATTATATACTGCTGCCCCAACTACACAGACATGCAGATCCTCACTGCCCCAATGGCACAGACTGGTTGAAATACTGTCCCTTTAGGCGTCAGGATTTCTCCACATGCTGGACCGACCACACAGATGGTTTGAGTTACTAACGACCAAGTTGCAGACATGCAGAGCCAAACTGGTCCAACCCTGCAGATGGTTCAAGATACTATGCACCAAGGCACGGGCATGTGGAATCAAACCGGCTCAACCCCATAGTCTTCATTTATAGTTTTCATCTACTCTCTTCAAGAGCGAGGCCTATGAAGAATGTAATGAGATTGTATTACAGATGGATTTTCTGAAAGTTCTTGGGCCGTTGAGATTGAGCTGTTGAAACCACTGCAGATTGGAAAGCCCTGTCTAATGGCCGTTGATGTAGTCCTGCTGCCATACGTCATAACACATTTGGACAGCAGTCGGTGTTTAATGTTTTTTGCCACATGCTCTGGGATGTCAAACACTGTTTTACTGCTCATATGGTGATAGATTTAATTGATATGAACATAAAAGGGAAACATTTCATTGCAAATACTATCATTCCATTGCAATGGCTTTCATGTTGACTTTTTTTTCTCATAGCGTATTGAGATGTTTCTTTCTTTAGTCAGTCTACATTTCTTTTGTGATTAATCCAGTGTTAACTCTGAATATTTATGGAAACCTTAATAAAAATAATACAGGTATGGTTTTTGGAGATAAGTAGAATAAGAAGGTAAGATACTTTTATCCAAAGACACCATTCACCAAACAGATCCGCCTCTTGTTATCACGGGAAAGTAACAGTATCTAATTTTAACAACAGTATTAATTTTAATGAACATTTGACCCATAATATATTTCTGAACGTGTGTGAATGAGGCAAGTAATGGCATTGCGTTTGTGCAAAAAAACAAACAAAAACTACTGATAACAAATATATAATCTTCCAAAAAAACAATATAATCTTCCAAAAAAGATTGTTACAAAGCACTTCAGTACTTAGAAGCACATTCAGTTCAGGTGTGTCCCATTGATAAACCTGTTCTACAGGTCTGTTTATGAATTCCCCTAAGATCCCAGTACAAACACACGCCCATTCCAGCCCAGTCACGCTAACCAGTGTTTAGTCCATCAGTAAATACACGCTCCATACAAAACTCAAGGAATGTATGAGCACATTGTTTTTCTCAGTTAGACCTTCGACCTTTTCTTTTTATTTACAGTGTCTTGCGAAATTATTCATACCCCTTAATTTTTTCACCTTTTTTTATGTTGCTGCCTTATGTAAAACTGCTTTAAAATTACTTTTTTCCACATCAATCTACACTCCATACACTATATTGACAAAACAAAAACTGAATTGCCACAACTTTGTAAATGTATAAAAAAAACTGAAATAAGTACATTGCATAAGTATTCATACCCTTAACTCAGCACTTAGCTGAAGCACCTTTACAACCTCAAGTCTTTATGGGTATGATGCGACAAGCTTTGCAAATCTGCATTTGGCAATTATCTGCCATTATAAATCAATGACTGCAATTATCCTCACCTCTTCACCTCTCAAGCTCTCTCAGATTGAATGGGGGCAGATGCACATTTTCAGGTTTATCAAACCCAGGCTCTGGCTGGGCCACCCAAGGACATTCACAGAGTTGTCTATAAGCCACTCTTACTGTGTGCTTAGGGTCATTGTCCTGTTGAAAGGTGAACCTTCTGCCCAGTCTGAGGTTCTGAATGCTCTGCACTGGGTTTTCATTAAGGCTATCTCAATATTTTGGTGCATTGAGCTTTTCTTCTACTCTGACAAGTCCCTCAGTCCCTGCCGCTGAAAAACAGCCCACAGCATGAGGCTGCTACCAGCACACTTTACTTTTAGGATGGTACCCTGCAGGTGATGGGCAGTGTCTGGTTTCCTTCAAACATGATGCTGGGAATTGAGGTTCATCAGACCAGAGAATCTTGTTTCTGTTACAGTCTGAGGGTCCTTTAGGTGCTTTTTTGCAAATGCCAAGTGTGTTTTCATGTGTCTACACTAAAGAGAGGATTGAGTTTGGCCACACCGCCATAAAGCCCAGTTTGGTGTTGCAGTGATGTTTGTCCTTCTGTAGGTTTTTTCCTATCTCCACATATGATCATGGAGCTCAACTAGAGTGACCATCAGGTTCTTGGTCACCATTCTAACCAAAGCCCTTCTCCATCAATTGCTCAGGTTAGTTCAATGCTTCTGTGAACCTTCAATGCAGCAGATTGTTTTCTGAGCTCTTCCCCAGATCTGTGGATTGATGCAACCTTGTTTTTGAGCTCTACAGGCAGTTCATTTGACCTCAGGGCTTGGTTTTTGCTCTGATATGCATTTTTTTTCAGCTGTTTTAAGAGTTAGTTCAATGCTTCTGTGAACCTTCAATGCAGCAGATTGTTTTCTGAGCTCTTCCCCAGATCTGTGGATTGATGCAACCTTGTTTTTGAGCTCTACAGGCAGTTCATTTGACCTCAGGACTTGGTTTTTGCTCTGATATGCATTTTTTTTCAGCTGTTTTAAGATGTGTGTGCGTTTCCAAATCATACCCATTCAATTGAATTTGCCACAGGTTAATTTCACTCGAAGTGTAGTAACATTTACAAGCAATATGAATGCTCCTGAGCTAAATTTCAACTGTCCCAGGTATGAATACTTATGCAATGGAATCATTTAAGTTTTTTTTATTTTTAATAAATTTGCAAAGATGTTAATAATCAGATTTTTTGCTTTGCTATTTTGGTGTATGGAGTGTAGATTGATGTGAAAAAAAAGTAATTTAAAGCAGTTTAACAATGCAGCAATATAACAAAGTGAGAAAAAACGAATACTTTCACAAGGCCCTGTATATCTTTGTTTGAAATCTTTTTTGGGCTTTTAATAACTGGACTTCCTTTGTAATTTTTGAATTGTATCATTAAATGTTTAGTAAATGTTGGTCTAGTCTTGCTTAAAACACCTAATCTAAATTCTCATTACAACTTCTAATTTCAGTGTGCCACATATTAAGTGAAAAATAAGATGAATAGGCAGGGGCAGTTCTAGACCCTTTTTAGGTGGGCTTCAGCCCCCCTATTTGTCGTCTCAGCCCCCCTATCTGAACGATCAGGCCAGTTCTGCTTCCTCAAGAAAGTTTATCATTCTCACTTGTTTATCGATCTCAATGTGGTACTCACGCGCTGTGATAGGTCATTCACTTTTGCATCTTCTCGAGCAAATAAGCAAATACACACAATATTATGTCACAATGGTTGTCTTGACGAGTATCCAAGTAAACACAGTCGGTTACGTCTTAAATAAACACAGACAGTTAAGAAAATATTGGATGTGTCAGTATAACGGATCCATCCATTTCTTATATTAGGCTAATAATGTTAATCAAACAACAAAAGAAAAACATGAGAATCACTCACAACTCTTAACTAAGTAACTTCTGTAACTTTAATAGGTAATTGTGTATATTTACTTCATACAGTAATACAGTTTTCATGAGTACTGTAAAATAATGTTTATTTAGGTAATTTGTATCGTTGTATCTAATGGTCTCTCTGAGGGCTAAGCCCCCCCTAAAAATGAAATCCTAGAACCGCCCCTGTGAATAGGTATAGCCTAATGATGATAAATATTTACTGTCCCAAATACATCATATCTGTCACATCCAAGGACTGTCATGTGTTCCCTGTCTTGTGTTTTCCTCCCCCATGTGCTTTCCATTTCCCAGTTTCTCCCATAGTAATTATGTTCATTAGTTCCAGGTGTGTCTTGTTTTTTCCTTGATGAGTCCCATGATTTAAGCCCTGTGTGTTTCCATGTCGAGCGTTCGGTATAGTTTGTCTATCCCCTCTGCTATGTGTGCTTTGCGTTACTTTAGTTTTAGAAGCCTCGCTCCTTTGCGCCTCGCTCCGTCACAGTAGCAGCAGCATCGTGACAATATCATTATTACATTTCCAATAATAATTTAATGAGGAAAGGATGAAGAAAAACATTACAGATTAAATAATTTGATATGCGTCATGGAAAAATACTGTAATGAGTCATGACCCAACTATGTGTCACATACTTTAAATAGGCGGGACCTAGGGTACCACTCTGTATTGTATTGTTCATTGATTGAATGAAGAAGAATGGTGTTAAACATCA